ATGAAAGGTAACAGAAATATAATAATTAATAATCATAGTATTGTCTGGTATTTTGACAGTATTATCTGAACTATACTAGCTGTCCATTTTTTGGAGTCTTTCTAGTTTGGATACTGTGAAGGAAGTTCACTGAAGATATCTCTAAAGCCAATGAGACATCTTCAAAAGTCACCTGATTTAGAATTTTGAGTTTGTTTTCAAATTTCAGCCAAATTCATAATACAAATTCAATTATATTATGACCTTCTTTATTAGAGCCAAATGTAAGTTTGATTCCAACTCTGATTCTTGCTTACCAGCAATACAAACAATACATACAGAAAGAATAGTTAAAATGGGCTAATGCATGGCTGTCGTTGCTGCCTTGATTAATGCAAAGATGACAAAAGCAATTAGAACAGTTTCCCCGATTTACTGTATCTTGCATCATCCTCCCAGCCCCTGGCCAAGCTCACTGGGAACCACAGTTTGGCTCCTCTGCTCAGGAAAACCACCAATGACAGATTGAGAATGGATACATTTTGATTTGTGATACAACCAAACGAATAAGAATCACCTGAAGTGATATTAAAGGCATTGTCAGTCACACTAATCACAACATCAGGCACGCCACAAAGGCATATAAGTGACAGATATACATCATGACTGAGTTATTGTATCAGTTAGTAAGAATGAGTAGACACAATGAATTATCTCTATGATATTTTCTTCCTGTGACATTTGGGCAGGCCATGCGCTGCTCAGTATTCACTGGTCTCCTTCTGGGATTCTTAATAGACAGCTTCTTCATCTGCATCTGTGGGAAGGGCTGGGCCTGGTGGAAGGGCTGGGTGTGGACATGTTGGCATGGCCAGGGCTTGTGGGGAGGCGTTGCCCTGCCAAGCCAAGCGCTGGCAATTCCCCACCATAACTGGTGCAGCCAAGCCAAGATGATTGACTGCAGTCTTGGGGGGACTGTGGCAGGATGTTCTACCCCAATAAGGCCTTGAATCTGATCAGAGAATGCAAACAGTACAAGCTCTCATGCAAGTTCTACTGTTGGCACCAGGGTGCTGTTTTGGTGTTGAATTGTGCTAAAACAGGCCTGATTCACCAAACCTCAAACACACATCCTGCTTTTTGAAGCAGGATTTGACAGATAAGCTGCTCACTGGCCTGTAAATCTGTGACTGCCAGTCCATCACTTTATACCTATAAAAGCCCAGTCCAATTTTCACATGGCAGAGTCTTCCACAGACTTCCTTGAACTGTAGAGCTTCTCCCCTGAAGCAGGGACACCTCTTCATGGTCACTCCCCAGGGATTAAGAGAGAGATGTTCCCACTGTCTTGTGTGGTGAGTTACATCAATCTCTATTTAATGATTGTTCCTTTTGACAGCTTTAATACAATTGCTTTAATATAATTGCTTTGATAGAGTGCACTATACTACTTTCTGCTATATTATACCCTACTAGTAGGTTTCTAACTTTCACACTCTGTAGTAAATAATTCTGATTAAGATCTTTCATCTGTTTATTTGTGTGTTCATTTCTCATAATAAATAATTCATTTTATATAAATATAAATATAAATATATTTCTTGACTGTGTTAACAGTTTCATTAATTTCCTGTATCCTGCATCATCCTACCAGGCTCTGGCTTGGTTCACTGGGAGCCACAGTTCAGCTCCTCTGCACGTGGGAATTACGGATGATAAACTGAGAGTGGATATATTTTGATTCATGATATAACTAAAATATTGATCATTTACAGGGATTGTTAGTAACAGTAATCACAACGTCAGGTGCGGCCAAGAAGGCAAATGAGTGAGAGACACATACCACGACTGAGTCATGCCAGTTAGTGTTCATGATACAATGAAATATCCCTAGAATATTGTCTTCCATGTGACATCTGGGCAGGGCTTGTGCGGCTCAGCATTCATCAGTCTCCTCCCGGGATTCTTCAGGGACAGGTTCTGCATTTGCAGGATTGGATTGTGTGTCGGGTCCACTCACGACAACATTTCATCAAACGTGTTGGAAGCCAAAAGGGTCCTGTGGGAGACAAAACACAAGCATATCCCTTCCCCATGCTAACAACTCGATGGGTCCTTATCATTAGGTATCTTCTTGTGGGGTTTTGTACAATACTTATTGATCTAAATTCAAAAAATTCAGGGTAAATACAGCTTTATCTACTTGGGGTGTCATATTCCCCCTTTTTTGTTTTAAGACTATGGTTTTTAATACAGAGGACACATTTCTTGCACCTGGGATAGGCTCAGGTGATAAGATTATATTTATGATTTTACGGGTTTTTCTTTCTTTCTTTTTTTCTTTCCTTTTTTTTAGTGCTCATTTTCTCAAGTTTTGGCACTACATTGCTTATCACTGGTGAGCCTGGTTTTGTTCCTTCCCCCTTTCAAGCCAGTTGAAAGCTCAGTCAACAATCCCTCTGGCTCCTGTGCTAGAACTTTCTCCCCTCTGAGACTGGTGCATCCCAGGTACCAGGTATCAGCAGACCAGGTGTTGAGTCGATCAACCCATGGTCAAAAACCCCAGAATTTTTCTGATTACACCAATCTCGGAGCCACTTGTTGACCTGATGGATCTGCCTATTCCTATCAGAAGAATCGAGGAAATCACCCTCTGTGCTCCTCATCTCTCTAGACAAAACACAGGAGGCCTCACAAACACCCTGAAAGGCCTTTCCAAAACCTTGGCCCAAGGTCTCAGAGCCAGTAGGAAAAAAGAGAAATTGGCTCAGGGCAGGAAGGGGACAGTGCTGAATGTGTCTGAATTTCAGCTCCCTCCCGGTGCCATTGAGGAAAGGAGAGGGCTGTGGGTGTAAGGCCCAACAGCAGAAAGTCCCCCATCATGGTCCCTTTCAGACAGATGTAGGAGAACAAGGTGTTTTTGTGCCCCATCCCAGTTCAAGGCTTGCAGGGTGAAGGAGGCAGAACTGGCAGAGCCTGATTTGCCCCCAGTGGGCAGATGAGTGAGCAGGCATGTGGCAGCTGCTCAGAATAACCACCCTGAAGCAAACCAGACACAGAGAGGAAAGGAAACACACACCTCAGGTCTGGAGATGAGAGCCCCCTCAGCATGTTGGAGGGTGATCCCAGACTGGCAGGGGGGTCCTGCTGCCATCCAGATGGGCCTGAACAGGCTGGAGAAAAAGGGGCTGACAGGAACATCTGCAAGGTCAGCAAGGAGAAGGGCAAATTCCTGTAGTGGGGAGGAACAAGGCCAGGCATCAGCACATGCTGGGGGACACCCAGCTGCAAAACATCTGGGCAGAAAAGGACCTGAGGGCTCTGCTGGGCTCCAAGCTGCGGAACCTGCTCTTCCCACAAAGGGTATCCCAGGCAATACTGGAGGAGTGAGGCCACAGGTTGAGACAGGGGATCTTTGCCTTCTGCTCAGCACTGGAGAGGCCACAGCTGCTGTTTGGGGCTCCCCAGGACGAAAGAGATACAGACAGAGTGGAGAGAGTCCAGGGAATTCCCACACAGATGACTTAGGGACTGGAGGATTTCTCCCATGAAGTGATGACTTAAAATCTATATCATATAGATTTTAGTACAGCTAGTAGTTTTGTGCAAAATTCCTAAAAGTTCTGTTTAATGCTCTTTGTTAAGATTTTCAATAGAAAAGGGATTTTAACGAGATGAAGAGTTCTCTATCAAAATCGGGAGGCGTATTGAGGGTGGTACTAAGACAGGAATGGCTTTGGAAGTGGGTGTAACAGGTGAGATAATGTCCAAATATTGTCATTAGATGAGAGTATAAAGTTGTAACACCTATGTAGTTTGGGATGCACACTTTGAAAAATATTCCTGTGCATCTGGTTTGTTGTAATAAATGAGTGCTTTTGCTTCCTAATCCTCAAAAAGAGTTTTAAAGAGTTATTTTCTGGTTTTTCAGGCATCAGAAGAAAGGCTGGGAGAGCAGGGACCATTCAGCCTGGAGAGCAGAAGGCTTGGGGGGACCTCAGCAATGTTTATGAACACCTGAAGGAAGCTCTTCCCAGAGGTGCCAGGGACAGAACATAATGCAATTGGAAAAACTGAAACACAGGAGGGTACCTCTAAACATCAGAAAACACTTTCTTACTTTGAGAGTGACCAAGCCCAGGTTCAAGTTCCCTAGAGAGGCTGTGGAGTCTTTGCCTTGGAGACATTCCAAAGCCATGTGGAGATATGTGGTGGGGTGACCTTGACTGGTTTCCAGGTGCCCAAAAAGCTGCTCCATTACTGTCCCTCCTCAACAAATGTCAGCTCATAGACAAACAGGAAAAAGATACTAGATTTTTCAGAAAAACTCACACTCAACCTGTAAGACCCCAGGCTCTTCTCATGAGCTCATTGAAGGGGTTTTATGTCAAAAGGTACCCGGTTTCAAAAATCCACCCGACAGATTTATTAAAAGGGCCTTCAGTACTTTTATACCGTGAGGCCACACACTGGAGAAATGCTGCAAAGCTTTTCAGGGGGTCAAAATAACACACTTTTACTAGCAAATTTTGGAAAAAGTTTAAAAGAAGCATTCAACCAACATAAAGCATTTCACAAAGCATTGATTTAGCAAATTCCAACCCATCCAAGTTTAAGTTACCCAAATATTAAGAAAAGGAAATTAAGAAGTAAAAAGAGAGAGAGAGAGAATTATAGCTACTGCCTTAGATCGAGCATAGAACCAGCTAACACAAATCCAAGAATGATAGGGCCATGCACATGGAGGGCCTCATGATGTTGGTCGTATTTGCTCTGGACTCCTGTGGCCATGACGCCCAGGTAGGGTTCTGGTCTGCCAGCCATTTGAGATCTGGGTTAGGGGTCCCCTGGGGTGTGGTGTGGGGCAGTGCTACCAGTGTGCCAGTGATTGACAGCTGCACGAGATGTTTTCATGGGGGCAGAGCACCACTGCACCTTGGCAGAATCTGATCTGTCCCCTCTCACACACACAGAGCTGTTTTGAGCCAGTAATAATTTTAATAACTTTTTTTTCAGTCCCTCACACCACTTTTTTTCATACAAACATTAAAGTACATTTATTTTTCTTGAGCACATAGAATTTCCCTCAAAACATTCTTCACTCTGATTCATAAGGCAAAAAACTCAGAGCAGACCACTCTGAGAGATCTGTCCTGTCCTTCATTAGCTTTGTTCAGGAGACACAAATTAGGCAGCAGCCTGATTACAATGGGATTTCATCACTGACTGTACATTACTGAGCTTTGAAATGTGGAGTAAACTATTGAACATCATCAAAAATCTACACTATTACCAGAGCCTGAGGATCATGGTTTGCAGTAGCAGAGCCTAAGGAGAAGAAGGGAATGAATTCATCTCTCTGGCTGCTGCCATCAGCAATGCTAAAAGTGTACAGAGCTGCTTCCTTATCGTACACATGGTAGAAAGACACCTCCTTGGCTAGGATGTCTAGGAAGATCCCAATGACTTCCAACTCCCCCCTCACACTCAGACGGGTCTGAGGATCCGTGTAGGCCCAATAGTCTCGCCCATCTGCCAACCCGATGACCCAGAAGCCATTCTTAGGGGTCAGAGTCAGTGGCCCTTTGCGAGTCACAGATTCCTGGGCAATACCCAAGGCCCAGTTTCTTCTTCCCCGAACAGACACTTCCCAGTAGAGCCTCCCATATCTGAATCTTTGCTTTGCCAACACAAACAGATGGGAATCAAATCTCTTCTCATTGCTGGAGAAGTCTCTGATGATACCTTGCATGCCGAAACCTCCCTCTACCACTCTCTTCCCATCTGTAGATATTCCCAATCCGGGATGAGCTGTGGCAGCGTCCAGGGTGACAACAACTGCAATGGTCAGGTCAGGTCGTGAGGAGCAGAAAACACAAGCTCTGCTTTTCTGAGCCTTTCTCTTCTGGGCCCTCATCCCCCTCCCATTTGTCCTTCCCCCCTCTCAATGCTCAGGTTCCCTGGGCAGCCTCAGGGCACCTCGAGCTTCTCCCCTCCCCTCCCGCCACGTCCCTTCCTTGAACTGCTGTCACAGAGAGTGGCAATGTGCACACCCCGAGTGCCAGGCACTCAGTCAGAGCTCCTGGGACTCCAGCAGGCAGCCCCAAGGAGGAGCCTGTGGGGCTGGACACCCTCTCCCTCCATCTCTGTGTTGCTGGGGAAAAGGACCAGGAGGTGACAGCAGCTGCAATTAGTTTTGGGTGTCAGGATTAACTCCTAGGCAAAGTCTGAAGATGATTTTCAAGCTTTAGGCAGTTTCTCCTAAATAACAGGACAGCACCAGTCTAGATATTGCTGCCACATGGTGAAAGAGTGATCTGCACTGCCACAAAAATGTTTCTTGCCTCAGTTTTCCATGCTCAGCAGTGAATGGGATGAACCCCTGGCAGGACTTGAGCAAGGAGCAATGGCATGAACTGAGCTCCTCTAGCTCTGCTCAGATTTAAAGAAGAAGGAACTGCTCTTGCAGTGGAGCCAAATCAGCTCCAGACACTTTTCCTGAAAGACCACAGAGGCCAAAGCAGGAGTGGGAGAGGGGGCTGCAGTGGCCAGTGCAAGCCGGCTGCCCCTGCTTCCCACAGCTGAGATGCTCTTGACAGGCACAGGCAGGGCCTTTGGCAGCACAGGACAGGGAAAAAAGTCATCAAACTACCCTTGATCTGAGCATATTCTTCTCCAAACAGTTCTCTGAGGGGGTTGGACATGTTTTCGAGAGCTGCACTCAGGCTCTGAGGACTCACCTGCACGATATCCTCTATGCTTCTCTTTGTAGTACTGTATTTTGAAAAGCTCTGTGGGAAAAGAGAAAAGCAGGCAATTAGTGGATTTGTCAAGGCTTGCTGGGCCCCAGTGTGCTCAGAGTCAGCCCAAGCTGTTGGCCAAAAGGATGATGTTCTCCTGGAGTAACACGCTGCTTCTCTAACTTATGAAGCACTTTGAGAAGTCCGAGGCCATCCTCCAAAGAGAGCAAAGCCTGAGGCACTGGGATGCTTTGTCTTTTAGCAGTAAGAACTCCAACTATCATTGAAATCAAGGCAGGAATTCTTGAGGAGAAGGAAAATGGCCTACTGGTGGCAGGGGAGAAGGGATAGGAAACAAGGAGCTTAATTTCCCTGCAGGAGACCTGTTTGGTTTGCCACAGAATGGCAGGAGCTGTATTTTCACTGGTCCCATCTGCCTGCAAGGCTACCCCTTCCTCAGGCAGCAGCCCAGCTACTGCCTGAGTATCTCCTGGACACAAGACTCCAGATGTGCATCACCAGGGCTGCTTCTCCCCTGACCTGCTGGCAATGCTCCTCCTAATGCACCCCAGGATACCATTGTCCTCATCCACAAGGGCACATGGCTGACTCTGGGAAAACATTTTTTTCACCAGGACCCCCAGGTCCTTCTCGGCAGAGCAACTTTCCAGCAGGTCACCCCCAGCCTGGAATGGTGCCTGGGGTTATTCCCTGTTTGGTTCTTTGAACTGCTTTGGATTGACTGACTGATGGAGGGCTGGGGAAAGAGCAGAGGCCCTGTGACCCTTCCCAAAAGGCCTTGACAAAGGCCTGATGGGCAGGATGGAGGGTAGGAACCACCCCTTTCCATCTCTCCAGAATGAATCTGTGAGCCATGGGAGACAACACACTTTCCCATGAAGAAGTGGGGAAGGGGAGGAAGAAGGACTTCCATGTCCGTTCTGGAACATATCAGAGACAGAGAGAGTTCAGGACATGGGCTCTGTGCCCGCCCAGGGGAAGGTCCCCAGACATTGGGCAAGAGAGTGCCGGGTGCTGCCAGTGCCCTCCCCTGCCCCACCTCCTGCACTGCCTGTTGAGATGCCCCTGAGCTGAGCAGGGGAGCACAGGTAGGGCTCCTCATGGGCACAGACATGCAGGGTGGGCACAGCCCAGCTTCCCCCAGCCTGGGACCAGCAGTGGAGGAGTAGGAGAAGGGCAATGGGGACAGGGAGAGAGATGGGGACAGGACTTCAAGGGGGAACCTTAACACGTATCAGGGAATGAGGGGACCCACAGTACACACTCTTTACAAAGATGAAGGAGAGAAGAGGGCCCTTGAGCTCCTGCAGAGAAAATTTCAGCATGGAGGTGTTCCAGTGTCAGGATCACAAAAGCTGTTCCCCATGTAAGGACTGTCCTTCCCCATCCCCTTTGAGGAGCTGTGCAGGACGAGCTCACAGGACAGTTAGCCTGTAGAGCAGCTTTTGCCTTCAGAGACGTGAAGGCCTTGCTGGGGAATGGCCCTGCTCACCTAGTTTGTTCTCCAGGTCTGTTCTGAGCAACTGAATGTCACACTGTGTAGACTGCTGCATGTTCTGGAAATCTTCCTGCAGAGTTTGAATTTTCTGGGAGACTTCATGGAGGTCCCTCTTCCACATGGATTCCAGGGCCCCTGTGGTATTTTCCACCACTTTCATTTCTGTGAAAAAAGAGAGGTATCCCTATGACACTGACATTACCCCCTTGAAGATGAGACCACCCATCTGCCCTGCAGATGATAAAACTTCTGTTTTAAATTGTCTTTTTGAGGGTCTCTTCTCAGTGTGTTTTATTGTTCCTTCTCTCCCTCCTCACCTCAGAGAAACAAAGCTTGCACTTAAGGGGGCACCTGGAAATGGTTTTGATTTTGCCTTCTTTTTTCGTGCAGGCATGGGACAAGAAACTCAGACTTAGTTCCCACAGAGAATAATAAAATGTTAAGGGTTGGAAGGGACCTTAAAGATCATCCAGTCCCAACACCCCTGACATGGGCAGGGGCACCTCCCGCCAGATCAAGTTGCTCAAGGCCTTATCCAACCTGGCCTTGAACCCTGCCAGGGTTGGGACATCCACAATCTTCCTGGGCAGCCTGTTCCAGTATCTCACCACTCTCACAGGAAAGAATTTCTTCCGAATATCTAATCTAAATTTCCCCTTGTCCTATTACTATAGTTCCTCATGCAGAGTCTCTCTCTGCCTTCCCTGTAGCCCCTTCAGATACTGGAAGGTGCTGTGAGGTCTCCACACAACCTTCTCTTCTCCAGGCTGAACAGTCCCAACTCTCTCAGCCTGTCTCCACAGGGGAGGTGCTCCAGTCCTCTTATCAACTGTTTGGCCTCCTCTGGACTTGCTTCAACAGTTCCATGTCCTTCTTTTCTTGGGGCACCAGAACTGTAGACAGGACTCCAGGCAGGGTCTGACAGGAGCAGAGTAGAGGGGGAGAATCTCCTCCCTTGACCTGCTGCCCCCCCTCCTTTGGATGCAGCCCAGGATCCTGTTGGTTTCAGGGCTGTGAGTGCTCACTGCTGGCTCATGGTGAGTTTTCCATCAACCATCATTCACAAGGCTTTCTCCAAAGGGCTGTTCTTAATATGTCCTTCTTATTTACTGATTTGTGTGCTCCAAGCTTCTCTTTCCTCAGAGAATCTTTTCTAGTTCAGTGTCCTTGGAAAAGAACTCACTCATCCTTAGAAAAAAAAGGATGGGGCATTCCCATGCTTGTGCACCTGTGGGCACCATGACTGATCTCTTCCCTGGCTTTTAAATCCTCATACTGAGCTGTCTGCCAACCAGCACCCCTAAGTCCCTTTCTGTGGAACAGCTCTCAAGCCACTCCTCCCCCAGCCTGGAGTTGCAGGGGGTTGGTGTGACCTGAGTGCAGGACCCGGCCCTTGGCCTTGTTTAACTTTGTGCATCAATAAAGATGTTAAACAGGAGCGGCCCCAAAACTGAGCCCGGGAGACACCACTAGAGACCGGCCCCAACTGGATGTAGTTCCATTCACCACAACCCTCTGGGCCCAGCTAGCAACCAGTTTCTTACCCATTGAAGAGTCCACCCATCCAAGTCATGAGCAGCCAGTTTGTCCAGAGGTGTCTGCAACAGCCCCCATCTGCCATGGCTTCATGAGCTGCAGTTCTCCCTTCCCTGTGTGCTCACAGTGATCATTCCCTAGGTGTTTATCATCCTCTGTGGGAACTCTCCAGGTCCAGGTCCATGTCCATTGCACAGATGCAATGACAGCTGCTCAGATGCAGCTTCAGCGCAGATTTCAGAAGATGCAAGTGGTGTGAGCTCAGGAGAGCTGCGAGGGAAGGGTCAGCCCTCTGCCCAGCCATGGCTGTGGAGACAGAGATCTCTGGAGAGGCCCTTTCCAAGATGGGGAGGCACCATGGACACTTTTGGGAAAAAAGGTCCAGCTCTGATGAACAAGCTCCACTGGAGGCTTGGGTAGATGAGCCCAGTGGAGGCAGAGGAAGGGACCCTTCTAATTCACCACAGGAAAAGTCCACCAACCCACCCTCCTCCCTCCTCTTGTCTGTAGGTACCATGCTCCCTCAAGCTCTCAGCTGCCTGTGGAGGCATCTCCCTTCTGCCTCTAGATGACAGAGTAGCACATGGAAAGCTCCTACCTGCAGGAGAGCTTAGGTGTGCTAATTCTACGGACCAGAGGCAAACTCTACATGATATTTCATGCTAATTGTCAGACCAGTCTCACAAGGGGCTGAGAAATGATGCCTGGCAGTCAAAGAGTGAAACTAAACCCCAGAAGTGATGTGTAAAACCCTCAGCCACTTCACCGGAGCCATCTGTTCAGAGCCTTCCTCTACCATGCACAAGGAACACCCTCTGCCAGAGCAGGTTCTGCAGAGAACTTTCTCACAGGGATTGACCTCCCACAGCCTTCTGAAAACATGAGGTCCTGTGAACCAAGAGCCCTTACCTCGAAATACCAGAACAGCACCAGCAGCCAATGTGAGAAGGAATAAAGTGAGTAGTGTCCAGAAGGCAGGGACAAGTGGAGACACACGGGGAAAAGCAGCACCTTTGAAAAGAAAAAACCTGAGTCATCAGTGGCAATATTCAATCTTTTCCCCAAAATCTGAGCACCCATCCAAAGAGTTCCTGTGGAGAGGAAGGGACAAATAGTCCCAGTCAGTCCTACATGGGTGGGCAGAACCTGCCTTCCCTAGGGATCTGCATCTGGGGCAAGAGGGACCCTCACTGCAACCTGTCCTGCCTGCAGTGCCCCAGGCTGCTCTGGGATCTGGCTGGACTGGAGAGCTGTCATCTTCCCTGGCACTGGAAAGGGTCTTCCAGGGCTCCTGAGACAATGAGCCTTCAGCAAAGGCTTCTCAGGGCGATGGGACTCACCTGAGAGATGCGCAATAGTTTTCTTCTCCATCTGCACCAGGGGGTTCAGGATTTGACAGGTGACTTTTCCCACTTCCTCTCCTGTAACTGTGACTCGACTCCACACACTGAAGAGTTTCTCACTGTCCTGCTGTATTTCAGTGTCTGCAAACAGACCCTGCCCATCCTCAGTCACCCACTGGACAGTAGGTTCGGGGAACCATCCGTGTGATCTACAGCCAAGCTCGAGCCCTTGCCCTTGAGGGCCCAGAATTTCAAGGAACACTTCCCCAGTACCTTAAAGGCAAGAGAGTTTGTGAGTGGGAAAAGTGTGTTTCCATGGAACCAGCTCTACCTTGGATTCACAGCTCTTGCTTCTTCCAGAAGTTGCTGCCACTTTCTCTCAGTCCTTAACCCAACCTTTGCAATGGTCTTTCTGAGATCCCCCACTCCATCTGCCATAAATGCCAAATTTCCTTTGGCTGAGAAAGAGCTACAGCGTGGGATGGGTTTGTCTCTCAGCTCCCCACTATCCCATGGAGCTGGCAGTGAGAAGGTGTGTGGTTTGTATCCCTCTTTTAGAATGAATCTGTAGGAGGCTGGTCCAAGTTTGAGGATTGTCAAAGCAGGACACAGGGCACTAAAGCCCACTCAGCTTTTTCCCTGGCACCTCCCCAGTCCATGCCGGCACTACAGGTGGGCACAGATGGTCACTGCCCAGGGACTGTGCCAAAGCTGTGCCAGGGTGGTGAGGGGGATGCACCACACATGGTTCTGAGTTCCACTGCTGGGTCAGAGCTGGATTTCATAGATATTTGTCCTGGGCAATAGTAGCAAATGGAAGGTCACTTCCAACCCAAACCATGATATGATTCAGTGCTATTTTTGCTCAGTGACTCCAGGCTGACCAGCTCCACCTGACATCAATCCCTGCACACAAACGATGCCAACTGTCCATCTGGGGGGAACTGGGAGCCCAGAACATCTCCTTAGCCCAGCTGAGGAGTCCCCAGAGGGAGGGCACCATTCCTATCAGTCCCACAGCCAGGGATGCTGAGCACTTGTCTATCTCCCAGGCAGGCTCACACCTCCCCAGCAGGGATTGCTGCAGCTCTCCAGCCCCACATGGGTCATAACAAGGCTCAGGCTGGGCATGGGGCTTGCACAACATCTCTTGCCACAGGAACTCAGCCCCAGTCTCTTTGCAGCTTTACCAAGCTATTCCTGCCTGCTCCATTTCACCACACAATGCAACTGCCTTCCAACAGGCAGTGCAGGCTCCGTGTCTCCTGCAACATTCAGCTTTAAAGCTCCTTCCTTCTTGCCTAAAACTACCAGGGCTGCCATGACCCTCATGGGCCAGTCAGATCACCAGTTCCCCTATTACCTCCTGGATGTTGGCACATGGGTTGAATTTTCTTGGCTCCTTACAGACCCCTCAGTGACTTAGAAATCAAGTGTCCCATGGATCAAAAAGCAGGAGCCATGTGGCCCAAGGGCTGCTGTGAGTGGGGAGGTGACATGTTGGGTCATATGAGGGGCATCAGCTGGGGGACAGTGACCTTTCAGAGCACTCTTTTCCCTCTGGAAGAGCTTCCCCCCTTCCCCTCCCAGCCCAGGGAGTCTCCAACCTGCAATGCTGAGCTCGGTGGCTGTGTCAGCACTCCAGTCCCTGGATGTCACAGTGCAACTGTACATTCCTTCATCTGCTGGCTGGACGTTCTTCAGCGTCAGGGACACCTTCCCAGTGGCAAATCCATCTCCTGGCATTGATGTCCGCCCATGGTATTTCTGCATTGGTTCACCACCAGACTGTCCATATGTATAGATGTCCTCTGGATGTCCATCTGTGATCTTCTTCCATTGCACTTCAGGGTTGTCCAGTGGCTTTGTGGAAGAGATGGTGCAAGGAAGGATTGTATCCTGGCCGACAATTCCAACTACATTCTGGGGAGAGCTAAGCTCAAAATTTTCTGTGGAAATCAAACATGAGTGAGCATTTGGTTGGAATCAATCAGAGAATGTACTGGTGTGAAGGACACAGAGCACTGGGGGAACACAATGAGGAACAAATGACAGTTGCAAATATTCACTAATGACATTGGTCCCTTCTGTTCATGCACCTTCATCAATGAAGAATGCCAGAGAAAAAAATAAAAACCTCAGAGATCTTTTGGGGAAATTGTCAGTTCTGAAAAAAATCTTAGGAAAGCAGAATTAATGGCCTTTGAAAATGGCTCACGTGTTCTTTTTATAAAAGATAAATTCATTGTGGTTTGGAGCATTTACTCACTTTCTCCTTTTCTTCTTTCCTCTGAGACAAAATTGTAACTGGGGAAATTGAAAAGCCCAAAGTCATAGGAGAGAGGGAGAAACCAGGCTGGAAGCAGTGTCAGAGCCAACGGGAGCCATCTCCTCTGGTCCATCCCTGCAGTCACAGAGGTGGGACAATCCTGCAGCTGACCTGGAACAGGCACAGAAGGGAAGTGGACAAGGAAGGGAAATCCTGTCCCAAAGCCCCCGATCTCTCTCACCTGGCACTTGCCAGCTGTGACTTCTAAAGGTGCAAAGCACTCAAACAGTTGAGTTCAGACATCAAGAGAACTTGTGCCTTTCCAGAGATCTCAATTATCCTTGCAGCTTCTGGGAATTTCTCTCAGTCCAACGTGCTCCCAGGAAGTTGTGACAGGGGATGCAAGAGAGGAAAATTCAACCCAGTCCCCACTGCCTGCTGTGAAATTTGATGGACACCTGAATTAATACACCAGTTTAAATCTCTGGTCTGGGTTGCAGGAGTCTCTCTGTCCGTGCTCTGAGCTGGGGGGAAAAGAAGGAAGACACAGTTTACCCCCTCCCATGCCTACATTTGGAGATGGGGAATCCATGGTGTTTGCTATCCTGAAGTTCCCTCTCCCTGGGAACCCTCAGGCTGCAGGGTGACAGTGCATCAGCTCCAGCACAAACCTGGAATCATTTAGGGACCTGCACCAGGGTCAGCTTTGCTGCACTACGCTAAAGATCCTTCCCCTCTCTGGCTCTGGCTCTCTCTGCGAACTTTGACATTTCCAGAGTGGGACTGACAGTCCTTATCTCAGTCCTCATAGCAACACTTCTGGTTTGGTATCTTTATGACTTTATTAGTGTTCAATATTCCATGGTTAGTGAGCAGTGAGGAAGGTGAGACACCCTGATGGTTTCCAAGCAAGAGTTAATCACCGTGCACTGCAGTTCTGGATACATCCCTACTTCCCAGCCATAAGGTGGCCATAAGGTCTCACAGCTACATCTCATGGGACTAAATCAGATGCAGTTGGAACAGGCCTGGTGGTGGATCAAGGCAGACATCAGTAATTCTGGATTAATTCTTGTCCTGGGATGTCCTGCCACGTTTGGCCAGCTGGGTAAGCACACGTGGAGTGACAAGGGAAGTGTTCAATTCACTTAGTTTTAATCACAAATTGTCCCTCTTCACTTGCTAAGGAGGGACATGGACTCCTGGAGGGATTTCATCCAATTCACCACAGATCACCATGATGGGGATTTGTCTCCACTCTGATCTCCAGAGCAGAGGCTTTTTCCTCTGATCTCAGCTCTGTTTCTGGCACATGGAGATAAACAGGCACTCAGAGGTTTCTGTTCTGGTTTTGGACAGGATAGAGTTAATTTTTTTCCTTGTGGCTGGTGCAGGGCAGTGTTTTGGATTCAAGATGAGAATAATGCTGATCACATGCTGATATTTTGGTTGTGGCTCAGTTGTGCTCAGCCCAAGTCAAGGACTTTGCAGTGTCTCCTGTTCTGCCAGTAAGGAGCTGCACAAGAAGCTGGGAGGGAGCACAGCCAGGACAGGTAACCTGAACTGGCCAGAGGGATATTCCAGACCATGGAGCATCATTCCCAGTATATTATCTGGGGGGAGTTGGCCGGAAGGGGACTGATCTCTGCTCGGGGACAGGCTGGGCATCAGTCAGTGGGTGGTGAGCAAAATTGGACATCACATGGGTTTTATTCTGCCCTCTCGCTCTCCCTCTCCATCTCCCTCTCTACTTTAAATTACAATTCTTATTATTAATCTTATTCTAATTATTTTTAAAATGTGTTTCAATTATTAAGCTGTTATTTTTTTAACCCACAAGGTTTACTGTTTCTTTCCAATTCTTCTCCCCGCCCAGGGGGTGCCGGGGGCCAGGGAGTGAGCGAGCAGCTCTGTGGTACTTAGTGGCCATCTGGGCTTAAACCAGGACAGTCTCACATCACTCAACAAGCCACAGGTCTTGGGGTGACATGACCACAGCCTCAGTTCCACCAACCACATGGCCCACATGTCCATAAACTCCACAGGCAGCTCAGGGCATTGAATGTCAAACTGCAACTGACACTAAACTTTGGAAACTGTCCTGTTAAATTCTGCTCTTCCTCCTGTTTTCATGGGCTTGGACATGCACTAAGTTTGTTCTTTGCAGTCCATTATCCCATGAGGCCATATGAAATTTTGTCAGAGGCATTAATTTGGACATCTGCTATGGGAAAGAGGTTAATCCTGATTAGAGATGAGAGGGCTGCTCCTCAGTCACCTAAAAAGAGGTCTCAGGGGCTGTTTCAGATATTATCAGGGTTGGATACTAAATCAGGCATTTGGGAAGGGGCAGATATGACACAGGACTTGAAGAAACCTCTTTGCCTCTAGATCAGGAGCTAGAGGCTTGGAAATGCAAAATGTCACAAGACTGGAACATCTTACCTATGAATTCCATCCAGAACTTGCTGAGACCTTACATACCTTGTTTAGCAACACAGATACTTCTTCTGACAAATGTCATGGTCTTTTTACATCCAACTTTTACAAATTTCCCTGTCATCCAAGGAGGGCTCAAAAGAAACCTCGCTGTTTAACAAGTCATCAGTTACTGCTTCAGAGACCAAACCCATATTCCCAAACAAGCTGAATGCTTTTCAAAAGAAGACAAGTGAAAATAGACCTAAAAATCTCAGCACAACAATCAAACACAGAGTTCCTCTGTCCCCCAAGGCTTCATGTTCAGCACTGCTGAACAGACACACCAGGACACAGTTTAAGCTCAGTAACATTCCTGCAGATGCAGCTGAGCCCTGGGTGCTCTCAGAGTTATTGTCATCCCAAATTCCCATAAAATCAGGGCACTTTCCTACTTTTTCAGCTTCCGGCAGGAAACAGTTCCAAGTGGGCACAACTGGAACCAGCCTTGCTTACGGAGAAGAAGGTTCCAGAGTTATCATCAGCCCTGCTTTGCCTCAAGGCCCTGCCCCCAGGGGGTCCCTGGGCCCAACATCCCTTTCCAGAGGGGGAATACCACCACATTCACCACTTGTTCAGGAGGGAGAGAAATAAAAGAGACCTGCTTACCTACCTGAGTCAGGAAAGGTGAGCACTGATATAGGACAGCTATTTTTCCTCTTGCCAGAGAAACTTTCACCTGCAGGAGGGAAATGAACAGAAGGATCAAGTTCTGAATTTTAAATGCAGCATTTCTGTGCCCAAGAGTTACTTTGCTGCCAGAAGGTCACATCTCCTCTGCCATAGGAGGGCTCCGTGTTGGTGTTGTAGGGAATTAGGTGCAAATGGAGCTTTGATGCTACTGAGAAGTTTAAGACAAGCAAAGATCCTGCTCAATGCCCACAAACTGTGTCTTAGTTCAGAATTAGAGCTGGATTTTACCTGTTGTCAGGTGAGAACGATCCCCGTGTCTTCAGTCTGTGGATCAGAGATGATCAAGGATTAACTCAGGGTGTGGCTCTGCCTGAAGATCAAGGATGATTTTACTCTAAGACTGATGTTTCGCCGACAGATTACATAGAGAATGAAGGTGGGGTTTCCCTGGGAATTGACAGTCACCATTCAGAGAAATCAGCTTGAAATGGGAGTAATTCTGCTTTTCAAGAACTTCAGTGAACTGAAGTGCTCTTGTATTTTCCTCTTAGTCTTACTTTTCGCAGCTGTTTCTTCCTCCAAAGACTGTGCCAGAAGTATTTCTGTGAGAAAAACCTTCTCCCTTGAATTCAGAAGGACGGCAAAAACTCATGAAACAAAAAGAAAGAATTTATTCAGAGTGCTGGCTCTAGTCCCACACCGAGTTCTTTGGGGAGAAAAGACCCCTTGGGTTTAAATTTCATGCATTTTTATAGTTGTACAAAATCCCACCTTTTTCAGAGAAGCTTCATATATTCGCTTTTGCCTAAAAAGGTTTCTTGTCTCTGAAAAGGGGCTTTCCCTTCTTTCTAACTGGCCACTGGCCATCCTCTGTCAAAAGTGAGGGATCTTCCTTTGTTCTTAGCCCAAAGAGAGAAAAGAAACCCCTGTGTATCAAACTCTCACGTGGCCCCGAAAGATTTTAATTTTGGGAATTTTTATATTTCCCTTAACTGGCTGAAAAAGACTCTGACACCCAAGTCCACTCTGAGACTTGGATATCTTACAACTTCGCGATATGCCTATAAACCCATATTTTTACTTCTGATATTTCCAGCTGGGGTTAACAAGGGAAGTGACTGAGAGAGTGAGTAAAAAAAAAAAATGAGAGAGAAACGCACCGATCTGCTACTCTTTGTGGTTCAGCTGCTGCAGCCGTTCACGTAAAACTGCCCACAAAGTTTTTTGGCGCCCTCTTAGAGGAAGTGAGCCCGGGGGAGGGGGGAGGAAGAGGAGGGGGAGATGACGCAAACATCCTGAACAGGAGTCTTAAGGGGTGAGCTCATGGTTCAGAACATACTACCCCACCTCCATGGGACCCTCTCTTACAATCACAATTTCCCTCTCCCAACAATCAGAATGCCTGAGACAAAACGTGCTGGTGTCTGGTCCTCCACAGCGCCTGAAGGAGGGTCAAACCTCGTGAGCAGCCTGGGCTGGAGCAGGTTTGCTGGCTGGACCTGAGACCCTGCGAGGGTCAAACACTGGAGCAGTTCGTGAAGAACTGCAGCCGGTGGGAAGTGACACTGAGTGTGCAGAGAGAGAACCACTCATCTTCAGTGACTGTCCCTGCCTGGGAGCTGGACCTGCTGCCTGGGAGGAGAAAGGCACAGGCTGAGAGCCTGCAGCTCCCCCAGGTACTGCACAGACTCAGCCACTGTGGGGACCCCGTGGTCCACTATCTGTCAACTGTGGGGATCAATAAATGAATGCCCTGCCCAGCTGTGGCTCTGCATTAGATGTGGCACCACCACTCTCCCCTTTCTGTGATGCTGGTGCAGGAGAGGAGCAGGATGCTCTCCTGGGACTGGGAGGAGTGTCCCTGGTGCCAAAGGCTGGGCTGAACTGCCCACTGAGCTCCAGCATTCCAAATGCCAAGGGATGTGCCACGGAGCAGTGCAGGGTCCCGTCCCTCACCTGGGGGCTCTGCAGCCTGGGAGTGTTTCCTGCCCGTGCTCCAATGCCAGGACTCACCTGTGACACTCAGGTTCTGGGGAGCACTGAGGGCAGAGTTCCTCACTCAGTTACTGTTGTCTCTGTGCTGGTATCCACATGTGTCTGTGCTCCCCCTCATCATGGTGAAGAGCATGTGATGGCTCCCCTGCCCCTGTTGCCCTTTAAGGCTGTTCACCCACACCACATCCTTGCAGAAGACAATTTGGGTGGCAGAAGACTTCCAGCAAATTTGGCACCAAAACAAAACCTATTCATCCTCATGTGCAGCAGTGGGATCGTGTGGAATGCAGAAGCCAGGAAGTCACCTGGAGAGATGGCAAAGGGATGGCCAAGGACAGTGTCACTGTAGTGTTCCACATGGATCCAAGTGATTCTGTCAGAAGAAACTGGGAGTGGTAGCCAAGGCCATGGGGGACCATGTGGTTTTCTTGTCAATCCTGTTGTGCAAGGTGGAAAGGAGATGAAGAGGAAGCTGATGTTACAGGTCGAGAACTGGCTGTGATGCTGATTTGGGCAACAGTTTTGGGCTCTCTGATCAATGGACACTCTTTGCAGCTCAGCATCCACTGGGCAGAGCTGGGACCCACCTCACCAAGCAGGACAAAGCTACTTCTTCCAGTAGAATGGATGAGCCTCTAAAGAGGGCTTGAAACTGGGAATGATGGGGGAAGGAGAGATGAACTGGCTGTCCTGGGAGGGAGTGACAGACTGGGCTGATGAGCAAAGGTCAGGGGGTGATGGGACAGAAATGAAACACATCCAGATGAGGCTCCAGCAGGGTCACCTCCAGCAATGGCATTTTCCCCAGGAAGTGCTGACAGTGCTCCACTGTGGAGAAACCGCCAAGCCCTTTCTGGGCAGTCCTTGTGCTGAGGGGCTTCTGGGAAGGGCCTGTCCACTAATGCAGCCCCTGTGGGGAATAAAGAGGGTGAGACAGAGACCTGGGTGTGGTTTCAGGGATGTGACCTTGTTGGGATCAGGGAGATGTGATGCAACGGCTCCTCTGACTGCTCTTTTGTACTGGAGCCACACAGGATTTTAGGAAGGACAGGCAGGGAAGACGATGATGAAAAGTTACTTGTTGACGACGGTCAAGAATGCACTCAGGCAGCAATTAGGCAGGCAAAGGCACAAGGCAACTTTATTTACAATAGGCTTAGATTTATATTCTTTTTCTCTGTCCACGTGCAAGCATATTATATTTCATTGGTCAGGTACTTCTGTTCACGTGCCTAAACTCATCTTTTGGTAGGTGGTCGACACTTCTTCACGTGCTGGCAGATCTCAAAAACAGCACCTGTTATTTAGAGCAGTTTTTCTCCTTTTCTGCTTTCTCATCCTGGATTGTTTACATTCCTTACAACTTCACAGCTGCAACTGCTCAAATTCAAGGCCTACCACAGCTTGTTATGTGAGAGTCCATGGAGCTCCCCTGGGGATGGATGAGGAGCCAAGGGAGAGCTCCTGGGCTAGGAATAAAGAAAGGAGAGCTCTAGGTGACATTACGGTGGGATTCTGCTCCAGGCCATCTGAGCAGGAAGGACAAGGGAATGAGACCTCTACAGACAGGAGCGGCTTCACATTCACAGGGTCTGGACCTTCTGGTGAAATTCAACAGCTCTAAGAGCTGCTGGAGGGACAGCACAGCAGGACAGCACCAATCCACCAGGTTTCTGGAACTTCCTCTTTCGAGGGATAGAGGAACTGATGAGGAGTGGGGCTCTGCTAGACCTTCTACTCACCAGCTGCAACAGACTTGCTGTTCTGCCAGCCCGTGCCCAGGGACCTGCCCTTAGCTGAGCATATCAAGCCTGGCTTTTGCTATGGGAAACCTTTTGCTCCTCTGAATTCCCCCCTCTGGATGAGATTCTGGCCAAGTGGCTCCAGGTGTCCCTGCTTGGGAAGGGGGTTTGGACCAGATGATCTCTCCAGGTGTCTTCCAGCCTCAACTTCTCTCTGTCTCTATGATTCTGTACAGGGCACAAGAAATGTCAAACCACAAATTTCAGAATCTGCAAAGTCAGAGGTAGCTGGATCTGTACCAATTCCTGTGTGTGTTTAACTTTCACTTCCCCTTGGCTGTTTATTTTCAGGCATAGTAATAGAAAGTGCATAAGAAGATGAGTGGTATGATCCAGAGACACAGAATCCTTCTGAGCTAGTGAAGTATTGACCAACAAAAAATATGGAAGTCAGGAAGATGTTCAAAAGTGTTTGGAAAAATCATTATAGTGTCTTGTCTGCATCACTTTATTCCCTAATTTTGGTTGTAGTTGAAGAAATACCGGAGCTGAAATTTCAGTGTCCTCAGGAGAAGTCATTAAGGGAATTGTGTTTTGCTTCCTATTTTTTATGTCCAGCTTTCATTTCATTTTTCCTGAGCTGGACCTCCCAGCCCCCTGCATTCCCTGGGCTCTCTGTGTTGGGAAGTGTTGGTGCTGCTGGAAGACTTGGATAATTTTTAGAGCATTTCTCCCTCCTGTGACTTGGTGCCTGATCCTCCTAGAGATAGAGAGGAATTGAGGTTGGAATAGGTCATCTGGTCCAACGCCCTGCTCAAGCAGGGACACCTGGAGCCGCTTGTGTAGAACCTCATCCAGAGGTTTTGAAGATCTCCAAGGACAGAGACTCCATCACCTGCCCGGGTAACAGTGTCTGTCTCAGGGACCAGTCTGGGGCTCATTGCTCATGTAGCTGTCCTTGCTACATTTCTCTCTCCATAGGACATCCCTTGCAGATGTACCTTGGTCGGGTAAGAGGGAACAGGCACAAGCTGCAACATGAGAAACTCTGTTTCAGTGTGTGGAAAACTTTTTAGTGCTTTTTATCATGAGGGTGATCAAAGATTAGAACAAGTTGAGTAAAATCCATCCACAGAGATTTTTTTTCCCTTGTTGCTACAGGGTAAAGGGGAGACTGGAAATAACTCTGTGAAGCCACTGCCTCTGGCATTGCATTATGGCCATAACCAGTGTCAGGCCATAGGGTTTGCAAAGATAATGAGATCTGAAACCAAGTCGCAGCCAAACTTCTACAGACTGAGACCCCAAAATACAGAGGTGTGAAATTAAACACACCTGTGCATGAGTGCAAATAGTGCTCAAATCTGGAAATTAATATTTTTCAATAAAATGGGGACCTGAGTGGGGTGGGATGAGAGATGCCTTGAGAAAGAACAGTAAAGTCGTGGGGTGCTGATAGAGATTTCAGGGTTTAACCCAGGATGTAAAATGGGATTTGCTCCTCCAGTTTGAGATGCCTCATAGGCAGGTTAGGGATGTCAATTCTAATGCTGATTTAGTTGTTAAAAATCTCAGTAAGAATTACTACCCATGAATATTCCTGACCTGTAAACTCAGACTAATAATAAGCAGCTATTTTGCCTTGAGATAAATGAGGTGCAATAGAACAACGTGCTCCAAACCCACCATATAATATCAGTTATCAGGTGGGACATCTCTGCACTGGCTGAAGGTGTAAAAAGTCAAGTCCATTTGTGATGAAAGCTCCCACAGTGCTTTCAGGTTTTGGTGGCAGTTGTTTTGAACACTGTTTGCACCCTGTTTCACACCCCACCTTTGCTCTCTGTTCATCTGTTCTGCAACAACTCACTTGTAACTGGGCTCTGAGCTGTGTCTGTTTTGTGCCCCAGGGATGTGCACAGGTTGCACCGAATGTGACCCTCTTCTGCCAGTGCAACCACCACAGGGTGGTCCTGCAGCCCTGGACTCTCAAATCCTGTGTGACACACATGTGCAGGACCTGCAACTCCAGCTGTGCAAGAGCTACAGCAAAACCCTGTCTCCACTTCTGTGAACTAAAGCACTCACTAGGGAGACACAACAGAGCCTTCCCTCCTTCTCAGTCCCCAGTCTCCTGCCTTCATCTGCCAAATGAGCAGCAGGGGGACTCAGGGGAGCAAAAGGTTTCCCATAGAAAAAGCCAGACTTGATATGCTCAGCCAAGGGCAGGTCTCTGGGCACAGGCTGGCGGGTCACAGTGCCCTTGTAGAGGCACCGTGGTGGGCAGAAGAGCAGTGCCTTGTGGGTGGTGAGTAGAAGGTCCAGCAGATCCCCACTGCTCACTGGCTCCTCTATCACTTGGAGGAGGAAGTTCCAGGAACCTCCTGGATTCTGTGTCCTGCCATGTTGTCCTTCTGTGTGGAGAGGTAGAAATACCACAAAATAACACAG